TTGAGACAGTTGGCCCCACAGATAGAACACGTTATGAAGTCGTGGCAGCAGAAATGTTCACAATAGCCAAGACATACAAAGACCCAGAGGCCCATGGAGGCCCCCCTAGATTAAAAAAAACAGCATTTAGCATCACTCAGAAACATACAAACACATGGTCACTCAAGACCAATAGATAGGAATGTAGCTTGGTGCAGCCGCTATGGAAAACAGTATGGAGATTCCTTAAGAAGGAAGTAAAAACTAAAAATAGAGTTACCCTATGATCCAGCAATTCCCTTCCTGGGAATCTATCCGGAGGAAACTCAAATTTGAAGATACATGCACCCCAATGTTCACAGCAGCACTATTTACAAGACATGGAAACAACCTAAATGTCCATCAACAGTTGACTGGATAAAGAAGTTGTGGTGTATTTATATAATGGAATATTACTCAGCCATAAAAAGAATACAATACTGCCATTTATAGCAACGTGGATGGACCTGAAGATCGTCATACTAAGTGAAGTAAGTCAGAAAGAAAAGTACCATATGATATCACTTATATGGGGAATCTAAAAAAAAATGACACAAATGAAATTATTTACAAAACAGAAACAAACTCACAGACATAGAAAACAAACTTATGGTTACCAGGGTGGAAAGGGAGTGGTGTGGAAGGTTAAAATGAGTTCGGGATTTGCAGATGCTAACTACTATATATAAAATAGACGAACAACAAGGTCCTACTGTTTAGCACAGGGAACTATTTTCAATACTTTCTAATAACCTATAATGAAAAAGAATATGAAAAGGAATATATATGTGTACAATGAATCACTATGAAATTAACACCGGAAATTAACACAACATGCAAACCAAAAATACTTCAATAAAAAGAAAAGACCAATAGAACGGGGCAAAGGTTGCCAGCTTCTCTGGAAGGACACCCCCTTCACCAAGGCTGGAGGCAGTGGGGGCTGACATCGGGTCCAGTCCTTCCTCAGGGGTCCCTGCTAGTCCTTGCTCCCCACCCTCACTGTACATCCATCTGCCCTTCTTGATGGGAAAATCCTTGTCACAAATCTCTCATCCATATACCTACCTCCTAGTAGTTGCTTCTCTGATTGATGTCCAGGGTCAGCTGCGTTAAGGCTACCAACAAATATCTACATCCTAATCTCTGGAATCTGTGAATGTGTGAAGTATCATATGGCAAAAGGGATTTGGCAGATAAGGATCCTGAGATGGGCAGATTATCCTGGATTATCTGGGTGGACCCAGGGGGATTATCACAGGGTCCTTCTAAGAGGGAGGCAGGAGATTAGAATAGGAGATGTGCAGATGGAAGCAAGAAGTTGGAGCAATACCAGGAAGGGGCTACAAGCCAAGGAATGCAGGTAGCCTCTAGAAGCTGGATAAAGAAAGGGAACAGATTCTCCCCTGGAACTTCCAGAAGGAACCAGCTCTGTTGACACCTTAACTTTGGCCCAGTGAAGCTGATTTTGGAATTCTGACCTCCAGAACTATCAGAGGATGAATTTGTGTTGTTTTAAGCCGCTCACTTTGTGTTGCTTTTTTACTGTGGCAACAAGAAATGAGTGTAAACCCTGACTGATACACAAGAGACATGTCTAGAGAGTTAAAAATAAACCTGTATGTTGTGGGGGCCCTGGAGCCAGAGTAAAATGTTACACATCAAGTAAGGTAGTCACACAAAAACAATCACACTGGATGACCACAGGTCTCCCTCCGTGTTAGGAACACCCACGGATGCTACACACAAGGCAACCCACAGACCCCGGAATCAACAGTTTACAGCAGGTACACAACAGTCAGCTGTGGTACCACAGGGACCCACAAACTGCTGCATCCCTCAAAAGCACACCACTCACACCTGCCCACACCCAGAGCTCCCATCCCATGGAATCCAACAGAGTCCCCAGAAAGATGTCACACATCACGTCATTTGCATAAAACAGTGGCACAGTGACACAGTGACAGACCACTTACAACCAAACACACCAGGAGCCCCAGAGGCACCCATACACATCACTGTCAGTCTGAGACTCACAAGGTCATTCCTGGAGTCAGCTGGATATAGTGTCCAGGTGTGCACACACACAAACACGCCTCCTCCAGACCTCTGCATGAGAGAGGCCCCACCAAGCCAGGGATATGGTACAAAAATAGTTTATTACAAAAGAAATTCAACCAAAATGCCTAATAATTTACATTGTTATCAGTGCCTGGCTACAGTCCATCTCTCCTCATCCAACTGGGGAGAGCACAAAGAAGAGTGGCTTTTCCTCGGTTCCACCATCTCTGGAAGAGGAGAAGGAAATGAACATTTGGGTGGAGTTCCAGACAGGAGACAGGCGCCTGAGAATAATGGGGGTCAGAGTCCTGGGTGCCAGAGATGAGTTGGGGGAATATCTGTGCTGAGAAGAGGGGGCTTATGGGTAAATACATGTGCCTTTGTGCAAATCCTGGTCCAGAAGATTGGGGGGGCAGAGTGAGATCTTCACAGTTTTCAGGAGGGCTGACCCCATTGGGCAGCAAGGTCCCTCCTCATGAGTCCGAGATCTGCCCCCCCATCCCTCTCAGCTGCCTCCTGGAGCTGGGGAAGGGGGCACCGGCTGGCCAGGGGCTCGGAGGACCCCAGAAAAGGGCAAGAAGGTAGGTGGAGATGAGGGAGGAAGGAAGAAACTGGGGGGAGCCATGGGGAATCCAGGGAGGTCTTTAGGGGGAGACTGGGAGGGCGAGGAGGGAGGTGATGCTGACAGAAGACCTGTGGGAAGAAAAGAGAGAGGAGGCGTGAGGGCAGTGAGACTGGATCCAGAGAAAGGGTGCTGGGGGCCCCCACTCCTGGGTGCTGAGGGAGGAGGGGGCTGATTTCTCACCATTGGAGCTGACTCGGCTGCTGCTCTCCGGGGAGGTGGTGGTGCTCCGGTCAGAGGAAGGCTCAGGCTGGGATGCAGGAGCCGGCCGGGTGGCCTTCCCCCTCAGGATGTCGATGACCTGTAGGAAGATGCGGAGTCATTACCAAGCCACCCTTGCCCACCCAGCACCGCCTTTCTCCACCTCGCCTAGCTCATGGGGTGTCCATGTTCAAATGGGCACTGCCTCTACCTCAGTATGTGAAGGCGGGCGGGTCACTTCCCGTCTTTGTGCCTCAGTCTCTCCTCTGTCCGGAACTCACATCCACGCACTCTGGCTCACCCGCCCGCCTCCACGCCCTGCACGGACACGCACACGCAAACCGCCGCACCCCTGCATATACGTGCCCACTCACATCCACGCTGACCGGCGCTCGGGCACAGACCCCTCCTCCGCCGCCCCCGCAACCTCCCACCGCCACCAGCGCGCACGCTCACCCGGCGGCTGCCG